TTTAGACTCTTAATTATTTAGACTTAGATATGTAACGGATGGTGTTATTCACATCTTTTTTTACCTCTTACAAATCTTTGTTAATTTTTTTTCAATGGAAAATTTTATTTGAACCCGTATAACCTTTTTCTACACTCAACTTAAAATTTAATTTTAATTGTCTTTTTTACTCTATTGCATAATTACCATCAAGTACGAAATAAACTTAACAATAAAACTAAAACTTATCAATAAACCAACACTCTATAATTAAACCCTACCTTTCCTTTGTCAATTGGATAAGATTGTGTCAACCTCACACAAGTAAGTGTTGATCAACCGCATAGGGCATTCGGAATCTGCACTAGTCTTCAAGGTCTGAAGCTGTGAAAAATGATTCTTGATTAAACCCTGCAGAAAGATATGAACACACATTAAATCAAATAACCACTTTTCCAAACATTACTAAAATCAAGTAAATTTTTTGTATCCCATACAAATAGAAAATAACTTGAATTAGCCCTGTATCATATCCATGGAAATAAATTTAATGAGCTCTCTCCAAGAAAATCCAGTGCATGGTTTTTATAGTTTCACAATTTAGTTTGGTGAAATAGAAGTTGAAATATTTGGTAACCCTATCATAATATGATTGTAAAGAAGATCATATTGCGAAGATTATGAATTTGTCCACTTTCTCGTAGTCCTAACTTGAAATGGACTTCTATTTGCAAATTTTGAATTTGTATTTTCTAAAATGGGTATAGAGATAAATTTATAAATTGAATTAGGCTTGTGAGGGTAGTTTAGGTAGTAAATTTGGGTTTAAAGAGAGATTGATAGTTTAATTAAAAGTAACATGGGTGAAAAGCGTAAGTTGGATGTAGAAATGGGTTATATGGGTTCAAATAAAATTTCTCTTTTTCAATTTATTCGATCCGACTGTCGGAAATTGAGAAGGTGAATGGAACCACCCTATGTAAGTCCCTTACTTTTTGTAATTATCTCATTAGTTAACGAGATTTACCATTAAAAACATCATGGAGTGGCTCAGTAGTTAGGATGAATTTCAGACTCGTATTCAACATGACATGTCCTTGGTTTAATTTGTGGCGTTAGTGAATCGCACGATGGTGGTCAAGAGGAAGTTGAACTACCTCTATGAGTCTTTTTTACCTCTTTTTGACCTCCGAAAAGATGGACTGCAATAGCCAAATCATTAGTTGATTTTTATTTTCTTTTAAAAAAAAAAAAAAAAAAAAAAAAAAGAAACAAGAAGACTTACCATAAAAGTGGTCTTTCAATCTCTTTCCATACATGAAAAGACAAAATCGACAAGGAAAAAAAGGGACATTCAGAAGTGAGTGGGCCTAGAACAAACAAAAGAAAAATACATAGAATAAACGTAGCCATAGAAAACTAACTTTTTGGATTTCAACAACACAAATTTGGTGTCCGTCCAACGATAGCGTAATATGGTTGTTAATAACTTAATACAACACAAACTGAACTGTCCTCTTTTATTTAGCTCGTAATTGTCGGATAACAACACAAATTTTGTACCTCAGCCTTTATTTATTATTAATTTTTTATTCACAATACAGTTTAAAACAAAGAATCATATGTGGGAATAAAATTTTGTAACTAAACTCTTATTTCTTACTAGTGACACATTATTTGGTTTGTAGATTTGATAAAAATTTGGTTTCCCTCGTATTATTATTTTTTTTTCTAAATGAAGTATACCTTGCAAAATTATGACTAAGGTTTTCCTGATTAGTAACAATATATGTTTTTTTTTTTTTTTGTCAAACAATAGATTTTGTTAAATTAGATAATAGATTAGCCACAAACAGGGTTCGAACCCACATCAATATGTTAGAGCTCAACTCTTTTCCACCACTTTAGTAAATGATCACTTGCAATAACTATATATGTTAACAATCATATATACACGCTAACTATGCAACTTACAAATAATGAAATAAGATCGAAATTATTTGTGTTATTAATGAAAAGAGCAAGGAGCTGGAGATAGCTTGAAGACATTGATGACCATGATGATTTATTTGGAACTACAAATTCAAATATAAAATTCTCTTTCATTTGAAATATCTTAGACCGGGATAATATTTACATTATCATATTCACAGTATGACAACATAAACATCGATTCCTTACAGATTGTTCGGCAAAAAATACATACCACTAGCAGAAGCTACCATTTACGGGAATTGATGTGGGGTATGGAGAAATTATCGAATCGTATATGATACGACCTTCCTATCCAAAAAAAAATGGCCACATAACTAACATATGAGTGTTTGACGGTTCAAGCATGTTTCTAATATGGAAAAGGGGATAATATATAGAAATTGTGTCACAAATGGCGTGCTGGATTAAGACAGCCTAAGGGGGAAGCTTCGTTGAAACTTACAAGAAAGAAAATCCAGTCATTAATTTGGCGGAAGAAATCCCATGCATTTTCCACAAGAAAACGTCAAAGTGCACAGGCTATGGCTTCTTCAGACAAGTGCTGTTCTTGATGAACTTTAGCAATTTCCTTTTAGAGGAAGGTTTTGGTGAACACGTGAATCTACACAATATCTCTTTACTCTTAATGTATAAGCATGACAGACGCACATTAGACATTAGTTAAATTGGTCAGGACAATGTGTTCGCTCCTTTCGACTAAGTTTGGATTTTCTTCACATATGTTACTAAGATTTAAAATATCACATTGTCAAAATTGGACGCGTAAATCACCTTATTTTATTTGAATGATATTGAATAGGAATTTTACTGGTTTATATTCTTTTTCTACCAGATTGGAATAAGTACTCGAACCAGAGTTCACGGCCAAAGAGTCCCAAAAAAATATTCATAAGATTGATGTCATCAAAAGGCGAGTTTACCAAAAGCCAATTCCAAAAAACAAAATAAAAGTAAGCGAAACTAAGCCTAACGAGTGGTCTACCCAATCTTTGACTAAAAAAAGAAAAAGGCAATAATGCAACTTTTGATGTCCATTTTATTAGGGAAGTGTTATTGGCACTCCAAAAATCTCATTCTACACTCCTCACAAGTGTATTTTTCTTTCCCAATATAGAAAGTTTGGAGTGTAGAATGAGATTTTTGGAGTGCTAATAACAATTCCCTTTTATTAGGGTTGCATTGAAAATTCTTGAGAAAATGAGGTCTACCGTAGTTCTTAGGGTCCCAATATAAATTTGTCCAAATAAAATCTTAGAGTTAAGGGCAGCCATTAAGAGGTTAAAAAAACATTGTTTCAATTAATAGGTTAAAGAGCTTAAATTAGACTACCCATTGTATAGCTTAGCCGAACTTCTCATCTTCTTGTAAAAATATCGATAACTAGAAATAAAAAAAAAATAAAAAAGAAAGAAAGAGCCCAACGCAAAAAAAATGCACATTGGGTCTTTGAAACAGCTCAAATCATTTTGATAATAAGAAGTTTGATCTATTTTGCCGAGAAGGTCTACTGTTCGAGTCCGTATAACCCTAAACCTAAAAATTAAAATAAAAAATGAAAAGAAAATGAAAATATGCTATGATCATTTATATTCTTTTTCTACCAAATTTCGGGAATTACTCAAGTCGTAGTATATTGTGAAGACAACTGTTTTACTAAACTCTTCTTTATTTCTTTCTTTTTTTTCAATCCAAATTGAAATGGTATGATATAGAATGAATCAATAATTTTCTATTTGCTGATTAATTAGTACATATAGGACTTTTTAAAACCAAGAAAATTCCTATTGAATATCATTCAAATAAAAAAGAATAATAATTCATTCCAAAAAGATGGCCAACATATAATTTATAAGGAACTAGAGTCATTGACAACCAGCTGGTAGGCTGGTATACATGTGGCTAACAGGGTGGTGTAAATATACAATTAACAACAAATATTGTTTTAATTAGTATAATCACATTGCTAAAGTTGTCATGCATGTTTTAAATTGTTGACTGAAACAACCACTGTAGATCAATAGTACGTCCTAACTAATTACGTTAATCGACCCTCCAAATCATTAAAATCTTTCACTCAAACGAGAGTAGTATATATAGACCTCAAACGGTAACAACCGTAGAATTTTGCATGTCTGCAAGCAGTAGTCCGTACAAATTCAAACGATCGTTTTGCAAAAATTTGTTGCAGATTAGGGAACAAGAGCTACAGCGTGCCTTGGTGTGTTCATTACACTAATAAAATGGACGGATACTCATCGAAGATTGGCAGAAACACTTGCATGTAGCGTGGGGTACATATATACCCATGTTTTCCTCTCACTATTGAACCAGGTGTATATATGTAAAGCCATATATATTATCGGAGTTCAGAGACAGTATATTGAATATATATATATATATATATATATGTGTGTGTGTGTGTGTGTGTGTGTGTGTGAAACGATCGCTATATATTCTTGAATTAAAACGGTGGCAACTGTAGAATTTCGCATATCTGCAAAGCATAGTCGTACAAATTAAAAAAAAAAATGCCAAATTTGATGGCAGATCAACGATCAAGCCACATCGTACCTTGGTGTGTGTGTGCAATACACAAACATAAACAGATAGAAGTTTGCTGACGAGTTCAACAGAAAAACTTGCATGAAACGAGGTGTAAGTATCCATGTTTTTCTATCGCTATTGAACAAGGTGTATGTAAGAGTTCAGGGAACCAATACATTGAACGTAGAGAAGACATGCAACCATATATAGTGCTCAACTCTAATCAATCTCAGCCACCCAGAAACCAGCAACGCCCAACCCTTTTCATTTTTTTTCATGCACTACCTATAATGTCCCAATGCCAAGCCAAGTGTATGTATACATTTATATACACATATATACGTGTATATATTTATACGTAACGTGCCCAGATCACACGTGCATGATGCATGCAAGGATATATATATGTGCAGCCATTCATACTACAATATTATGAACTCGCAATATAAATCTACCCAAATAAAAAAAATGAAAACAAAATATAAGGCAAAACATGATTAAATAGATCAGATTAAACAAGTTAAATAACAACAAAGCACCGGAATTCGAAAGGCCGGCCGGCCTCCATTCTGTGTTCTCTTTAAATTTCTTCATCATCATCGTCATCCTACAAATAAAATACAACAAAGCAAAACACAGAGATAGTGTCATCACCACGAACAGATTCTAGAGAGAGAAAGAGTCGCTGCAGTTGCATGATTTGGATTTCGATCTTACTGGCCACCTTCACACTCACTCACTCACTCCCTATTCACGAATCCTGCACTTTTGGTTCGAGAACTCCAACAACCTTTTTTTTTTTTTTTTTTTTTTCACTACCAACTACAACAACTTACTGGCTGACGTGGACCAAAACTGCTCATCCAATCACGCCGCGCCACGCCTCCACCCTACCCCATCCTACCATACGTATCGTCACATCTGAATCCACTTTGCCAGTTGCGTCGGGTTCACAATCCCCGGAATGTGGGCCCCATCCGTCTTCAGTAAGCTCGCCACCTCAGCGTAACTCTCCCGCGCTGCGCCCGTACCGGATCCTTTTCCTGATTCGACCGGCTTCCCCTTCCTCGGCTCGGCTGAGAAGCTAGCCACCAAGGGAACCACCTCGGCTAGAGCCGGGTCGAGCTTCTGACCGAACAGTGTGCGCTTGGTTAAATACTCGTACGCCATGTGGCCCGCCAGAAGCCAGTTTGCCGAGAGCGGCGAAGCTGTCGTTTTGCTCGGAGCTTTTGGAGCTGTCGTTGAGCTTGGAGCCCTTGGAGCCTTCGGAGCCGGTAGTTTAAAGCCGTTCGATGGGGTCTCCTTTCGCTTTCTTGAAGCGACAGGTGGCAAAATCCTACGGCTGTGGTTTTGTGGGAAATTCATCCTTTTTCAAAACCCCATGCCACGTCAGAAAACGAACTTCGAAATGGAAAATCCTTGAGCGGCTAAAACCGTCAAGTGGAAAGTTGTTGTCGGGGGGGGGGCAAAAGCGTAAAATAAGGGTAGACTGCTATTGAAAACGTAAGGGTGGGGATTTGTGGTGACAGATATGTAATTTCACAAAAAGACTTTTTAGAGAGAAGAGGAAAAAAAAAAGGAAAATTTAGAAAAAAAAAAGAGATAAACAACAAATAAAAATGGTAAATTACGAAATGAAAGGAGGTGCGCGTCGGGATTGGGGGTTAGGTTAGAGGCTGAAGCTCGATGGGTGAAATCGGATCCGGATAGCTCTTACGTGAACCGAATCGGGCGACGGATCAGATTGTATGTGCGGAGGAGTGAGAGGAGGGGGCCGCCGGAGTACGCCGGAGAATGGGTGGATGCGGCGGTCGAGATTGGAAACACAGAATAGAAAAGGAGGAAGAAAGAATATTGAGGATTACAATGAGGAGCGGGTGGGGGAGAGGAAGACTGAGAGAAGCGGCGTGGTTCGTGAATTTATAGGAAGTTTGATAGTAGATATGCCCCCGGATTTTAGGGAATTAACTTAAATGCCATTGTGAGTTTCAAATAGCTATACCCATTGGGTTTCGTCATGGTTGCTGAACGAGGGCATTGGGCCGCGGATTTATTATACTTTCCTACACAAAAAATGCGATCATGCCCATAAATTTATAAGAGCAAAATGCTAAAAGCAGTCACTTACAAATGCAAAAGTTTGTCCGCGATAGATGTAATTAAGTTTCATAACTTATGAAGAAAACATTTATCCACAAAAAATAGATTTGCAAAAAAGGAATTGTTATTTGTATTCTAAAAATCTCATTTTGCACTCATTTCAAATATATTTTTCTTTTTAAATATAAAAATTTAGAGTATAAAATAAGAATTTTTTAGTCTAATAACAATTCCAGCAAGAAATAAGCACAATTTCTTTCCACGTTGTATTATGCGTAAAATAATCATTGAATTAAAAAAATAGATGGTTCCACATTAATTTTGAAAATGGCATGCTTGAAAAATAAAATATGAAAATTTAAGTGAGGGAAGTGTTGTTCATCTCATACTCTCGTTCATTATCATTCATATTAGTTCTTGCACCGATCCATAACTTCTCCGACTCCAAAATATGATTAGCGACTACTCACATGGGCAACCATAAGTAGCAAGGGTGATACTAGTGAGATGACCATCTACTTAGACTATTTTTTTTTGTAGATTACATGATATAGAGGTTGATGATTGGGTTCCTTCTTGAAAAAAAATACAATCATCAACTGTCGTATCATGGTCTACGAAATATGGTCTAAAATTGTGGCCCGCGTCGTGCCCTAGTTGCCGAGTTGATGTAACACCATGCTTCTGCATTCAATGTCTGATGTGAAATTGGTTGCATGTGTAACTTACTATGACCACTAAGAACAATATACTTGTATAAATACTTTGAAGGACAGTATAGGTATTTTTGAAAACTTTTATCCTAACGGTTAAATGGAAGTTTTTAAGGACTTTTCATTAGTTTTTCCAAAGTTAAAAGGTATGGAACAAGACATTCTCATTAGTGCCTTTTTCCTCAAGATATAAAGATATATTTACCCTAACAAGTAGGAAAATAAATTAGTATTGAACTCGTCATGCATGAGATCAACCACAAGACCTCTCACTTAGGCCTTCCACAGTAGGGCCAAAAAAAGTGATTGTCATACAATGTATTGAACTCATATAGAAATCACACATCTACAGTGTCCCGAAGAATTTGAGTGTAAAACCAATATCTTAAACTCATGTGTGAGTTCAACATATTGAACTCACACTAGTATAGGAAGAGTATTTATAGGTATCAAACTCAGGTTGTCTGATTCCTATATATAAATCTCTACTCACTTAAACTATTGTGAATGCCTTACAAACAAAAAAAATTACTACAAAACCATAATATTAAGTGACAACATTTTAATTAGTGTTTGTTCTTTAAATTTTTTAACAACCAATCGGGATTGTTTGACTTGCTAGCTTCTTGTCGCACCTAAATTATTCCTACTTGACTAGGCATGATTCCTGGTCTTGCAGTGGATTTTGCCTTGCCACTATACATTGTTTGTGGCTTTATAGTACTGGCTTTCTCTCAGAGCAATTCCAACCTCAAAAGGCCGCACCAACGACCCAAATATGTGAGGGCAATTGGTGGACCAAACCAAGCCCAACCCAATGCATGTGCAAGAATTGCACACCCTTACGTCTGTTAGCTTGGCTGACGTCAGTTACCTTTTTTTTTTTTTTAGTTGGCACGTGCAACACACACACAGAATCAAGGTGTGAGTCAACATCAACTGCCTATGTGGCCCCCCTACATCAACTCCAACGGAAGAGCCTAACAGCTCTATGACATGACACGATGAGAGTCATTGGATTTCCAACAATCTAATGATCTAGGCTATCAATGCAAATTTCCGTTGTTCTTCGCTTTGGCGAAAATACATCTGTAAAACAATCAACGCTTTTGATCAATGATCAAAACCAAAAGCCTCACACTCCCACGATGAGTGGGGGAAGGGGGGTTTTGGCTAATGTATCTTTGATGCCTAAGTTAGTCTATCTGAATATAGTGAGAGTTTAGAGTTTTTTGTGTATAGAAAAGCTTACCCATTTTTTGTGGAGAAATCGGGTATTTATAGAGAGTATGGCCCGCCTTTAGGTGAGATTTAGTGAGAAAATTCCCAAGATATTGTGTAAATAATATCTTTGAATAATTTTGAAGATATCTCAAAATAAATGTGATTGAGATTACTTGCTTGATAGGATTTGTCTTCAATTGGCAAGTGTATTAATGATAAGATTTAGAGATAATCCTATCATTAAATACCTTTTTCCATGTGCAGAGGAGTTCTAAACAGTTGTAGTCCGTTACTTGCATGTTCAGGGATGATGAGCTACGCATGGGGAATTTAAATATGCCCTGCTCATTTAATAAGGGCAATCTTGTCTTTTTATGTTGAAAGTCTACGTGTCGCTTCCAGGATTTTTGTGATTATTTTTTAATCCACATGGGCCATTAGAGTTCCAGCAGCAAAATGTTTATGAAAAAATTACCGTTGTGACATGTGACACAATTGGTGTGGTGGATTCAACAATAAAAACAAACAAACAATCAAGATTAAACAGATCGTTAAAAATGGAAAAAAAAATATTTATCTATACTATTATTAAGAGAACCCTCATTGTCAACTTTTTCCCCATTTTTTCCTATTTTACCCTCACTTTTGATACACACTATTGACAAAATGAGGGCAAAATAGTGATTTTATACCTTTTGACAAAATGACAATCATATCCCTACTTGTCCTATTTTCCAATTTTACCCTCACTTTTGATACACAATATTTACATAAGGAAGACAAAACAGTAATATGCATTTATTAAGAGAAACTGTTCACACGCACAAAGTGTGTGCTCTCTGTTAGTTTTTATTATAGAAAGGATAATACTTGCATTCCTCCCCTTCCCTTCCCCCTTTTCAGGGTACGAGCTTATTCCCTCACTTGCAAACAACGCATCTTCATCATAGAAATTCCTTTATCGAAACATTTTACTCTCTTAATCTTCAATTGAAGATCATCTCTTTAAAAAATCATTCGAAATGGATATCCTTTAGTTATATAAATGTATCAAATAAATAAATCTACAGTCTAGGTACCATTTGGATGACTAAACGATTCGTATTTATTTATTATTTTTTTTTAGAGATGATCTTCAAATGAAGATTAAGAGATTGAACGGTTTCGATAATAAAAATGTTATGGTGAAGATATGTTATAAGTACGTGAAGAAATGAGTTCATCTCACATTAGAGCTCAATATTTATTTTTTGTACAATCTCCAGAGAATCAGCTTATCTCCCAAAGGGTGCAAAATCTGGTGCCGGACCAAATCAGGATTGCCGGTCCGTTTTAAGCCTTTTTATTCGTAATTTAGGAGGTGAATTGTTTGCCCTCTTATTTTCATACTCTCCTCATGCTCTTCTGTGATGTGTGGTCACGGTTAAACCACGTCAATATTTTATAATAATTTTTAATAGAAATAATAAAACAAAAAGTAATAGAAATATAAAATGTTGACGTGACTTAACCGTGATCAAAGTATAAAAATAGAAGAACAGACAATCCACCTCTCGCAATTTAACATGTGTTATGTTAACATATAAGTATAACTGCCACATGCAGATTCCCCAAAACAAAAGATGTTGTCTTCTACTTGTTTGTTTCTTTTCTTTAGCAAATGAAAAATATAAGACGCGAAAGGTGAGCAAAGACGAGCCCTAGCAATCTCAGTATAAAGTGCAACAGAATGTATGGCCTACGAAATAGTTGCTGAACTTAGATATGAAAATCAGATCTGGCGACGTGACTAATTTCACTTCCAAAACTATAAGGCATGGCTAGCACTGGTGCCACTTTACCCTAGAAACCACTTTACCATCCTATTTATAGGGTATTTAAAATAGAGAGTTTTAACGAAAAACCAACGATATTATTCACTTTAATGAAAAATCATATTTTTACACTAAAAAGTCAATCATGATACTATTTATTTTACCCTTTATTTTGTCCTTATCATTAAAACTCAAAGTTTTCGAACTATTTTCATTAATTTTTCTTTTAAAATATCGATATACAAATTTATTTATTTTTGATAAAAGTTATGAAAAAATGACAATGGGATGGGTGTATGTTATATCAAATTCACTGGGGAGCCACGTTAAGGGCTTATTTGGTTTATAACCCAGGTAATTTTGGTGAAAAATAAAATTTTACATGTAATTTTCATAGATTTTCAAATGTAACTCACTATATATTTAGTTACTGATATGAATTCTCTCAGTTTAAATATTTAAAATTATATAATAAAGTTTATAAATCATTTATTTTTCTTATATCTCGTTTCTCAATGCTTGTGCATGTACAAGTCTAAATTTAGACACATATTTGTTTAATACTCATCTTGTGAAAATTTTCTTAAACTAGTTGATATTGTGAAAAGTACAATATCAAATTTTTTTGTTTATAAAAATTTAAATCTTTAAGCTAGCCCACCCAGTGAAAAATTTCTAGCTCCGCCATTGATCAAATCATAAGATTTAGTTGAAACTAGAGAAATTTTCAAAATTTCAAACTGTGAAATGGGCTTAGCAAAACTTTTATAGTGAAGTGGGATATATCTTCGATATTTATTTATTTATTTTTATATCTCACAGGCATAAAGGGAAACTTATATTTCACCACCCCAACTTCAATGTCGATCCTTGATTCTTTAGACCTACTCCAACTCTTGGTGTAAAACTCAAATTTTAGGTTTTAAACTTACCCAACTTGCTCCAACCCTTAGACCATCTCCAACAATGGCTTATAACCTAAAATTCCCCTCCCCCCCCCCCCCCCCCCAAAA